ACGTATTTTTCAACAGAAAGTCTGCATTCCTGTATTAACCAATTGTATTCCTGCCGATATGTCACTTTATTTCAAATGAAAATGATTAAGATTTTTCTATCCACAGGTATAGATATCCGTATCTGATACAACGGTTTTTAAAGCTCTTCAACTTCGTATTTTATTTGGCATTCCAACTGTTTTAATTTGAGAAAAAAGTAAAATAAAAAAATTACTGAGCTCCAAGGAAAATTCAAAACGGAAAGTCCCTGATCAAATGGCAAAATCAAAAGCTCAAACACATCTAACGAATGGAAAACAACTGTCATATTCCGTACTTGGTACAGGCATCTCCTTATGTAGAAAATGGTGGATTGAATAAAGGCAACAGTAGTATACCGCTGTTCAATAGTCATAATTCGATTAAGTAAAAACAAATCCGGGTAACAAACTAAAACCGAGGGAAACACATCAACTATAAGAGGAAAACAACAGAACAACAGAAACACTGAACTACAACAAAAGCAAACGCCAACATACATAGAAACGGACTGTAGATAACAACTGCCATATTCCTGACCTGGTACAGGAAATTTTAAGAAAAAATGGTGGATAGAACCTGGTTGTATGGCTAGTCAAACCTCCCGCTTATATGGCAATGTTAAAAATACCGCAAAAATGACAACACTACGTGACAGGAATACAGTACAAACAAACAGGATTTAACCTGGTTTTATAGGTCCACTGATTATCGTATGTAGACGAAACTCTCGTCTAGCGTACAATTTAATAATAATATGCCATCATTGATGAATTTTTACAACCACTGGGTCGATGTCACTATTGATGGACGTTTCGTTCACGAGAGTATCACCAGCCTAGTAGTTAGTGTGTTTACATGATATATCATTGTTATGTTTCATTTTTTGTAAATTTACTGTGTATAAAATGTTGGATTATTCGAAACTCTTAGATTTTTCTACTCTCTGGTATAAATTGCCTTGCCGTAGATGGCACAACTTTTTCGGTTTTTAAAGCTCTAAACTTTTGCGTCTGACGTACACAATTATACGCTTGGTATCTTTGGTTTTTATTGAAATTTGCTATTATAAAATCTTGGAATTCTTTTAAATTAAGGAACATTTCCTGCATACATAGCTGCAATTCCTTGTTCGGTTTTACTATGCTTGAGTTCCTTTTTTACTACCTTTGAAATGTTTGTATTAAGTTTTGGTTTTTTTATATTTTGGACTCGATCATCACTGATAAGACAACAATTGTCAAAATACGTTTTTGGTGCAGTGAAGTTTATACCTTCAATGGTGTTACAATGTCCCTTAATTTCCGTTCTTTTCAATAATTAACGTTAATTTGCACATTCAAAATTTTAATGAATAAGTTGATCTATCCAATTGAATTGAAGGTTAAAGAAAACATCGGACAGCTAGCTCTGCTTTAACCCTTACCTGACAACAATAAATAGACAGCGAAGGTTATTTATGTTAAACAAAAGAGGAGACTTTTATTTCCTATTTAATCTTTTCATTTTTATGTGCTATCAATAGTTCCTTGTCAGAGGGTTGTTACTTACAAGGAAGCTTCTGATGCGGAAACATTGGTTCTTGATGGTAAGGTTGAAGAAATCTTTTCGACAACTTTATATACATTTTCATGATTTAAATGACTGTTAAAGTAATAGCTGCGTCACAAATAACCAATTGTCAAATTTCAAAAAAAGTTAACCTAACCAAGAAGGATTTAAGATATAAATGCTGGCTTATTTTAGGCAAAAAAATTATATCAAAATCAAATTTGATTTATATAAAATTGTTATATTGGATCGAATTACAAATCTTTTCTCATAAGATTTTGTACTGAGTTAGCAACTGTCGTCAAAATAGTAAATGAGGGTAATATATCAATATGCGTTGGATTGTCTGAAGTAACAATTAATTAGGCTTGTCGCATTTTGGAATATTGCATTGTCTGAAATAAAAAGTACTAAGGGCTGTTGCTCTTGTTATATTGTTCTGTCTGAAGTAACGACTACTAAGGGTGTATTGCTTTTGGTATTTTGGACGGACTGAAATACCTATAAATAAAGGCAACAGTAGTATACCACTGTTCGAAATTCATAAATCAATTGAGAAAAAACAAATCCGGGTTACAAACTAAAACTGAGGGAAACACATCAAATATAAGAGGAGAACAAAGACACAACAGAAACACTAAAATGCAACACACACAGAAACGAACTATAAGATAACTATAGCCATATTCCTGACTTGGTACAGGACATTTTAAGAAAAAATGGTGGGTTGAACCTGGTTTTGTGGCTAGCCAAACCCCCCGCTTAAATGGCAATGTTAAATATAACACTAAAATGACAATATTACATGACAGGACTACAATACAAATAAATGGAGGAACATACAGGACAGAGAAACACACAAATAAACAATACAATAGAACATTACGACAAGCTAATAGTTATCAAAGGTGCCAGGCCTAAAGATGAAGAGCATTGATGACCCAAAATTCCAAAAAAGGTGTGCCAAATACGGCTAGGTTTTCTGCCTGGGTTAGAAAATATTTAGTATTTAGAATAATTCATATTTTTGCAAACAGTAAATTTATAAAATATAAAAATGACCATATAATTGATATACAGAATAAAAACGAATACGTAAAACAACCTAGATCAGCACATAAAAACAGCACAGCCGAACCTACTAAGGTTTGTTGCTTTTGGTATATCGGACTGACTCAAATAATAACTACTAAGGATTTTTTTAAATGCTTTTGGTATATTGAATTGTCTCAACTAACAACTACTAAGATTTGTTGCCCTTGCTATATTTTACTGTCTGAAGTAAAAACTACTACGACTTATTGCTCTTTATGTATATTGGATTGTCTGTAGTAACTACTTTTGATATATTGGACTGACTGAAATAATAACTACTAAGGCGTGTTGCTCTTGGTTTATTGGATTGTCTTAAGTAACAACTACTAAGGCTTGTTGTTTTTGGTTATTGGATTGTTTGTAGTAACCATTACTATGATATGTTGCTTTTGATTTATTAGAATGTCTGAAATAACAACAGTTGAAGATTGTTGTTGGTATATTTCATTGTCTGACGTGACAACTACTAATATTTAGGTTTGTTGCTGTTTGTATTTTGGATTGTCTGAGGTAACAACTATTAAGGCTTGTTGTTGGTATATTGGATTGTCTCAAGTTAAATATATTGAGGCTGAAGTAACAATTTCTAAGGCCTTATGATTTTTTTTATAGATGATTATCTCTAGTAAGAATTACTAAGGCGTGTTGCTGTTGTAATATTGGATTGTCTGAGTAAATAACTTTTATTCCATTTGATTTTCTAAAGTAACAACGACAGTCTTGTTGGTTTGGGTATATTGGATTGTCTGAAGTAATAAGCTTGGTTATTTTGCTGTGCATGATTGTTTGAGTCAACAACTACTTAAGTCTGTTGATTTTGCGATATATGATTGTCTGAATTGTTGCTGTTGGTATATTGATTGAACAAGTAACCATTTTGATATGTTGATTTTGGTATATAATAATAACTGTTTGAAGCAATAACTACGTAAGCTTGTTTCTGTTGGTATACTGTATTGTCTGACGTAACAAATACTACGTTGTTTTGCTGTTGGTATATAGGACTGTTTGAAGCAATAACTACAAAAGATTGTTGCTTTTGGTATATCGGACTGTCTGAAGTAAAAACTACTGAGTCCTGATGTTTAGGTAAATTTGATTGTCTGAAGTAACAACTAGTAAGGCTTGTTTCTTTTTTTTATATCGGATTTCTGAAGCAAAATATACTGAGGTTTGATGCTTTTGGTATCTTTCATCGTCTGAAGTAAAAATTGCAAAGAATTGTTGCTTTTGGCATATTGGCTTATCTCAAATAATATATACTGAGGCTTGATGTTCTTGGTATATTAGTACGTCTGAAGTAACACTACCTAAGGCTTGTTGAGTTTGATATATTGACTTCTATGGAGTAATATGTGTTAAAGGGTGTTGCTTTCGTTTTATTATATTGTCCGAGTAAACAGCTCTTTATATCATATTTGTTTTTCGTTCATTATTTTGTACATAAATCAGGCGTTAGTTTTCTCGTTTGAAATGTTTTACATTTGTCATTTCGGGGACTTTTATAGCTGACTATGCGGTATGGGTTTTACTCATTGTTGAAGGCCGTACGGTGACTTATAGTTGTTAATTTTTGTGTCATTTGGTCTCTTGTGAAGAGTTGTCTCATTGGCAACCATACCACATCTTCTTATTTTTATATTTATTTCATTGGGTTTTCTGAAGTAAAATATACTGTTGCTTGATGCTTTTGGTATCCTTGATCGTCTGAAGTAACAATTGCTAAAAATATTTTGCTTTTGGTTATTGAATTGTCTCAATTAGAATATACTGAGGCGTGATGCTCTTGGTATTTTGGATTTTCTGAAGTAACAACTACTTAGTCTTTTTGCTAATTGTATACTGGATTATCTGAAGTAACAACGACCAATGTTTGTTGCTTTGTGTATATTGGATGGTATGAAATAACAAATACTAAGGCTTGTTGGTATATTGGATGGTCTGAAATTAAGGCTTGTTGGTATATTGGATGGTCTGAAATTAAGGCTTGTTGGTATATTGGATGGTCTGAGATTAAGGCTTGTTGGTATATTGGATGGTCTGAGATTAAGGCTTGTTGGTATATTGGATGGTCTGAAATTAAGGCTTGTTGGTATATTGGATGGTCTGAAATTAAGGCTTGTTGGTATATTGGATGGTCTGAAATTAAGGCTTGTTGGTATATTGGATGGTCTGAAATAACAACTACTAAGGCTTGTTGGTATATTGGATGGTCTGAAATTAAGGCTTGTTGGTATATTGGATGGTCTGAGATTAAGGCTTGTTGGTATATTGGATGGTCTGAAATTAAGGCTTGTTGGTATATTGGATGGTCTGAAATAACAACTACTAAGGCTTGTTGGTATATTTTTTTTACAATTAAACTCAACATCAAATCAACAATACATACATACAACAAAGCATTGGAAGCCATTTATTTAAAGTACCTTTTTGTAAATTATACTATGAATTGTGATTCAGCTTTATAATTAAATTATTTTTTATATTGAAAAATGTTATTTTTGTATGTAGCAAACGTCTTATTCAGTAGCCAAAGTATTATCGTATGTTATGTTTCTTTATATAAAATATATATCCGAAACCTAAATGCATAATGAACAATGGAAATAATATTAGGAAGCAATCACGAGTTATCTCCCTTAAGTTGCGAAAATTAACAAGGTGTATATATTGCACACATGAATATGAACATAGAAAAATAGCACTAAATGAGGTATTTATATATAAATATATAACAAGCACTTGATGCAAAATCGTCAATAATTATATAATAAATAAATGTGATAGCGATCGTAGATGAAATAAGCCATCGTGTCAATGGACTTGCAGCTTTTCAACAGTCACAATCTCATAAGGAAGCAATATAAATTATCGTGGTAACGTCCAAATACTTACAAATTATCTTTTTTCAGAAAGAGATATCAATATTTTGTGAAATGTATGAATACAACTGGTTATATTATACTTCTGTATCCTTACTAGTAATAAAAAGTAAAATCACAAAAATACTGAACTCCGAGGAAAATTCAAAAAGGAAAGTCCCTAATCAAATGGCAAAATCAAAAGTTCAAACACATCAAACGAATGGATAACAACTGTCATATTCCTGACTTAGTACAGGCATTTTTTTATGTAGAAAATGTTGGATTGAACCTGGTTTTATAGCTAGCTAAACCTCTCACTGGTATGACAGTCGCATCAAATTCCATTATATTGACAATAAAATGATCTGTAGAGAACAAAAGTATATTGAGGAAAAAGCATCAATTAAGGTAGAAAACCAAATTCAAATTTTGGGGTCGTGAACCGAAATTTACTTATACCTCTTTGTCTGTTTATTACGGCAATGTCTGAATTTATCTATGCTCCCCAGATACATCTGAAAAAGTCGTTATCTTAGGAGCATGTCAATAAGTGAAAAAAAAACCAAACACCACTTTTAAAAATAAAACCGTATTAGCATGACTAAATCAGTTGACCTTCCTACTTTCAAGTTATTAAAATGCATGTACTTTTAAGGATTTAAGCAAACAATATAAAATCATAGTGTATTTGAGGAAGTCTCTAGTGGAAAGATCAATTTTCATCTAAATTTATACAACATGTTTATCTATCGATATTATATATAACATGAAAAAGTCTACAAACAAATGCTTTAATTATATTGTATGCAGACATGTATAGTTTTACACTCATCGCCGCATCTCATATTGAACAATAAACCAAGTCCTATTGCAGCCATTACCGGATGAAATTTCAAACTTTACAAATATTGAATGTCGCGTTTTTAAGAACTAATGATCAATTGATTTAAAATTAATTTGATATTTGATCAACTGGTGTCTGGTTAAAAGTGGAAATTTTAGTGCTGTAATTGGAATCTTTTGTTTATTAAGAAAGATTCGTGACTGGAATAGAATAAAAGGGCCTCATCAGAGAACATAAAAAACTAACGTAATTGACAAAATATTGGTTATTTAATATCTATCTTTAAAAGTCAATCTTTCAGCAATTTTGAGAGAACTACTTTAGCCGACTATTCTAACGTTACATGTAGGTGTAAAAATCATACAGTATCGGTAACAATAGTCTGATACACACAATTCTGAGTAGATTCTTCTTCCAATGCGTGTGATCATTATATCCCCCTCTTTCTCCACACACACACACACACACACACACACACACACACACATACATTCCTAACGGTCCATTCATTTCTATTACCGTCTCAGTTCTTTCTTAGGTTAAAATTGAAAAGTCAACGCTAACTTATTTTGTAAAGTAAGGTAGTTTTCTGAATAATAAATAAAGATGAGAAGTTACATGATTAATATTACAAAAGTGTTAATCATGTATCAAAATTCATGGCACTACGCACGCGTAAAATACAGGCCTACAGAGTTTTTTTGTGGACATAACCCTTTTCTACAATGTAAAGACATATTCAATTACTACAAGATTGTTATGCCTTTCTTTAGAAAACAATAACTGTAAATGACGCGCTTTTTTAAATTAAATAAATGAGGAAAATGTACAATGAAAAACGAGCATCAAAGTACTAGTATATAGTTTAAAAGTTATGCATTTGATTAAGTAGATTTTACATTTCTTCTTCCGAGTAGCTTCCGTCGGTATTCCCTGGCTAAATATGGCCTTCTTTCAGGAGAAGGGCTCCGTGAACGACGTGGATTATACGGAATATCTAGTATTAAACCGCGTCTATTAGAATATTTGTGATCTGCAGGCGCCAGTGGAAGGTGTTGTGACAAAGGTGGATCGTCACGTGGTGTGACTATATGAATCATTGGTTCCTTTGCATCACCGTTTTGTAGTTCGGAGTCACTGTGTAAAGACGAAGCATCGTTCAATTCCTGATTTTCTTTTCCAGAATCGCTCTTGATTTTACCAACAGTACTGTCTTTTGACAAATCGATCGCACCATCACAACTGCTACTCGAATTGTTTGTGACAATCGGTATTCTCGCTTTTTTACTTAAATCTAAGGATCCATCAGGAGATAGTCCGCGCTTCCGCATTAATGAATAGTCGTATGATGCTGAAAGCCGTGAATCGTATACCGGTGACGATCGATCCGATCCTAATGTTGGACTTATGCTTTGTTCAGTGATGCATGAATTGCAAGATACACGACCAGCAGGTATCGTTTCATTCTCATTTATATCATTTTTCATTTTATATATTGTTTGTCTATTACCGGAAGAAGAGATCGAAGAATCGAGCCCGTCAGAACTCGATGAAATATTTAAATTTTCTGAACCTTTATAATCACTAAGAGGATTTTTTGAACTTGGACTGTTTTCTGTAGATTTATTTTTGCCAAAAACTTCCATAATCTTTTCCATCGTTAGTGGAAGAGGCAATGGAATTGGAACCGGAAACGGAAGTGCAATGGGCATCGGCATAATCATAGTGACCGGAGGCAATCCATTCCCGGTATTTTGTGCATGATGGTACACATGAGAGTGTCTTCCATGATGACTCGTGTCCGTGCCTGAATGCATAGGGTTTTCCATAAACGTTGGCGGTTTTGTTCCTGAATTCATATGAACAGATTGATTTCTATTCCCATTAGTAACATTCTTTCTAGATTCAGCTGGTTCTGATATCGAATCTTCACTTACGACTGGCGAGACAGGTGGCTGTTGAGCATTTGAGAAACCAGATTCACTTAAATGTCTCTGCATCCCATCCATTGGAAAACCGGGTGGCATAAAGCCAGCCATAGGAGGCATAAATCCCGGATAGAACCAGGGAGGAATACCACCGAATTGAGGCATACTAGGAGCAAACATATTCCATAATTGAGGGGGTAAGATTTGCGACAAAGCTGGCATATTGCCCTGCGGTACAGGTGTCAGTCTTTGTGATGTAGCACTGTTTGGTGGTTCTTGCAGTCCATTTGAAATAGGTGTAGAGGCTTTACTATCTTTTGGAGTTGCACGTCTATTTTTCTCACGTGACATTCTCTCCGGAAGAGACTTTGACAATGGGATGTTTTTTTCACGAGAAGAAACATCGTTCTCTATCTTGTCAATTTTTGGTATTCTATGCTTTAAATCTAATTCTTTTTCTCTGTTGAATGATTTATCTTCCTTATCAATTACTTCTAATTTGCCTTCTTTAAGCCAGAGTTCAGGCGTAATTAAAATTTGTTCATCATTATTAGTTTTTGGTTTCTTCACTTCCGGAGGAGATCGAATTTGCTTAAGATGTTCTTGAGTTTCCCTACAGAAAATGCTCATTTTGTACTGATTCAAACACTTTGCGCTACAAAACTGAAGTTGTTGTTCACCGTCCTGAAAATCTACATAGTTGACTGTGTGGCGAACGTGTTTGCACCAGTCGCACACTTTGTTCTTTTTAAAGGATGCACGTCGACATTGGGTGAAGCACACTTCACTACAGAAAGCTTTTGATCCTGATGAGGTTTTCAGAGTAAATAACTTAGGACCACTTTTCTGGCACCAAGCACATACAAATTTCTCAGCTGGTAATGTTCCTTCAGGTGCACCTGGAAAAGATAGATATATACACGAGTGTTAAAAAGATCAATGGATGTTTTACAGCAGTTTTTTCTCTAGCTAAAGGGTGATTGGTTCTGATCGCGTAACTGAGTAGAAGAAAACATTTTAAAAAGCGTATAAAAAGTAATTTACCCTAGAGTGATTTTACCATATGATTTTGGGCTTACCAATGATATTGAATAATGCAAATACTTTCGAGAACTACTATTAATTCATTATACTTCGTGGGATATCAATTTCGTGGATTTTTTGGAAAACGAACTTTTGGCGATTTTTTTGGATACCAATTTTCGTGGGTAAAGGTGAACCAAAAATTTAAATGTTCATCGAAGTATAATTTTCTATTGTCTTGTATGTTGACTATGTCAAAACCACGAAATCAAATATCCACGAAAATGCAATTTCCCTCAATCCTCAAAAAATTGGTACAGACGAAAATACATGACTCCACAACAGTATGTTCTACAGGTAATATCTAGTTGTTAATGTCAAAGGTACAAAGAAAAGAAACTCGCCTTTTTGTATAATTTGTTATAACTACCGGTATCACCTTATTCTTCCGAAGCTCCTGAATTCATTCTTTTTTACCTTGATTTGTCTTCTTAATCGATTTATGAGATTTGAACATCGGTAAAAACAAGAATGTGTCCATAGTACAACGTGGCGGATGCCCCACTCGCACTATCATTTTCTATGTTCAGTAGGTCGTGAAATTGGGGTAAAAACTCTAATTTGCCATTAAAATTAGAAAGATCATATCATAGGGAATATGTGTACTAAGTTTCAAGTTGATTGGACTTCAACTTCATTAAAAACTACCTTGACTAAAAACTTTAACCTGAAGCGGGACAGACGGACGGACGAACGAACGAACGAACGAACAGACCGAAAAACATAATGCCCCTCTACCATCGTCGGTGGGGCATAAAAAGTCTTCACGTCTATAAGAGACTCATTAGTGACGCTCTAATCAAAAAAGTTAAACGGCCAACCAAATGAAGTCCGAAGTTGAAGAGTACACTTCTGTTGCCTACAGAGATTTAACATTAGTAAACTACTCTTGCCTATTATTATAGGGGTAAGTGTTACTTCAGTTTACCTGGCAAACCTCTGTGGACCACTGTTTGCCATGTTGTCTTTTGTTCATATTGTTAGATTTAGGTTTCTAACAGTCCCTTTTAACTTTTTTAAGCCAATGGAAACAAAATGGGATTAGTATTTTATCCGATGACTGTACAAAAGGAAAACTTCATACTTGTGGTGAAATATGTCTGACATGTTCGTATAGAATTTCAATATATCTGATTATCTCTTGTTTAAAATTTACAAAACTTCAATATCATGACACTTCAAGACATATTTTTATCAACCAAAGAAAAAATATAAATCCCACATTTTTACTCAAGTTTCATTTTTACAGGAAAATTGTCCGAGTTAATGGACTGAGCAAGCGTAATGTAAAAATTATTTATGGTAAAATAATGCGCTTCTAAAAGTGTGAAATTTCTAGGATTGATAACTGAATTGCACGTGTCTATACGTCGGCGAAAATAGATGAGAAAATAAATAATAAAAGACTACACTTTATCGAAACAGTTTCCGCGTTGAATTTTGAAATACATCTCACGTTCTCAATTTTCTTCAAATTTTTGTGGCAACTTACATAATATACAGACCAACCTATCAGATGTCAGTTCGTCGATTTCAATAGGCTCCAACGAATAAACATTTTAGGTAAAAAAAGTACGAACATTCCTCATTTCCTTGAACCAGTTAAATAAAAATAAGAATAAACTATTAAAAAATAGAACTCATATATTTTGTGTACGTGTTAAAATCAAACAGAAGACTGAATAGTAGAAGATAAAAATACAAACAGACTCAGAGGATCACCCTCCAAAACATTTTTTTTATCTAAGATTACGTTCCGAATTTACACTATTCAATGTATTATAGATGCGAGAGCTGGTACTCTCCAAGCAAGGGGTATCGGAATAAACCATTTAGTAAGTCCCCGTTGTGACCGGACGTAGTTGAGTATTTTTACACCCCACACAGCACATCCGAGGTGACTCCTCTTACTGTCAGACAAGAAGTATACAAGTGACCGTATTTCAATTCATCAGTCAACCCTAGGTATTTGAAGGAATTTGAAGGAATGATGTTTTGAAGTTATTCTTAATTTCTTGTGCATCGAGTTTCGAATATGGCTGCCATGTACAGAATTATTTCTAACTGAAAGGAAACAAGAGAGAGGAAATACCTTTTTTGGGATGTTGGTATTTGGCCTCTATTTTTGCGGGAATTCGGGATTAGGCCTTTATTTTCGCGGGAATTCGAGATTTACACTTATCGGAACTTGGGAACTAATGACTAATTTTTCTGGATCGTGGAAAGAATGTTTTATTTTTTCGGGAATTCGGGATGACATCCCCTCCTACCGCCCCTCAAACAAGCCTTACAAAATGAACAAGACAGTCTGATTTCAATTTAGTAAATACCTACAAGATTTAAATACTACAGAATTCAAGGCTTCTTATTGGTTAGTTCTTCAGAGTAAAGTATAAGAATAAGAAGATGTGGTATGACTGCCAATGAGACATCTCTCCACCACAGACCAAATGACGTAGATGTAAGCGACTACATGTCATCGTTCGGCCTTCAAAAATGAGCAAAACCCATATCGCATAGCAAACTATAAAAAGCCCCCGAAATTACAAATGTAAAACAATTCAAAGTACAAAACAATAAATAAAAACAAATGATATACAGTATCAAATGACAACCACTGTATACAGGCTACTAACTTGGGACAGGCACATACAGAGTGTGGCGGCGTGTAAACCGCATTTCATTTTTAATGTTATATCAAATTCAGAGGCTTATTTAATAAATGGAAGTAGACCAAAATAAAAAAAAACATTTTGATATGGTAAAACGATATATGTATTTCAAAGATCAAACTGAAATTGCATTATAATATTATTAAAATAATACGCATATATTTCAAAACGTTAGACCAACTGGTGTAAATAAAGTAATGATTTCAGTTCTTAAGTTTCATAGATATTTTCCCATGACAAAACATCTATTCTTTATTTAAAAGTTCGAGCTGTGAGAAACCTGGGACCTTTTAGTAACTTAATAAGACAGAGAGAATTCTGAAACTGGATCCCCGTCATCATACGATTCAAATCGATCGCACGGTTCTCGAATATACACGTTATCAAAATGGATCGGTTTCTGACGAGGGTTGGCTGACAAAGACCAATCTACAGACTCTCTAAAATATGATACCCCAGGTCAAGAAATGTTACACTGTATTGATTAGGGTCGATTAAATTCAGCCTTATTTGCTTCTAGTCAAATATCCATGGATTGTATTTTTTAAGGATAGAATTCCCCTTCAGTATGTAATTTAAATGACAGTACACGCCAACTTAGACGGGATACTTAGTATCAAGTGTCCTATTGCCATGTATCTCCATAATTAAGAAACTGTCAAATTTCAACTAAAATATCATAAAGCTTTTTGTAAATTGTATAATTTGATATTTACCGTTATGTTTAGTTTTTTTTTCCGGCAATTCAACATTACGGCCTACTCTTCCTTATTAAATAAAGTAGCATGGTTTCAATTTGAAGCACCACGCCTGTAATTGCTAGCCTCAAATTACTAGTTTTTAGTTTCGTGTGAAGTAAACAAAACAATTCGTGTTTCTTCCACCTGCCATGATATAAAATTACCTTAATTTATGTTTTGGAGAAATTTTTACGTTTTGAATTTCATACGTCTGTTTGTGTTGTAACCAGACTTCTTCATCAAAATTCTGTATCATCATCCTGTTTGCCAAAAATCTGACACCATTGTTCCAGATAAATGCTAGACGTCTACTTATTTCGTTTGGCTTCAAATTAGGCCATTTTCTGAAACTCTACTTTTGAATATTTTTCCATTTTAGATGTCATATATTTTCAAAACCCTCGACTTCATGTGTTTCTGAATTCTATCCAATACAGTGGTTAAATTGTTTATATCTTAAGTCTAGGAAGCTTCCCGCCTCCCCCGATCCGTAATGAATAGCATTAGATGTATCGACAGTACTGTGTTTCATTATATTCACACTTGTTTGTCAATAGAAATAATGTTGTTTTCAATTTCATGTTCAAATAATCTCTATCAACGTTAAACAGGAATACTACCAGTTATCTAACCAGTTATCTAACCAGTTATACTTCTGTTTGGCTAAATTATCACTTTATGTTTTACTGCAGTTAAGTTTCATTGCTCGTATTTTATGTGTCGCATATCATTAATCTCGTCGAATTTAGAGATCTTAAATTTAGCTGATTCATCAATTTCAGGAATTTTACAGTGAATACATTATAATTTTATTTTCTTGTGTTCTTATTCTGTATTGGGAACTTTCCCTTGATTAGAAAGAAATTGCAACCATTAAAACAATGGTGTTTACAAACTTTTCGAACCAGCATGCCTTCAGAAAAGAAGTTTCAGATAGAATCCGATAAATTAAGAAATTTTGACTAATAGATTGACGACTAACAGTATTTTATCTATGATCATTGTTGATTAAAAGATAAATCAATATGTTGTCCTTTTCGTCCAAAACAAATTCGGATGCTACATTTTTAATATGTTACTTTGCACATTAATAATACCTGTAAGCCTGTGTTTCTTTGTCAAAGCTGTGACTAGATTTCTGTGTTGTGCTGCAAGACTGTTCTGACTATCGCTTCTACCTATAAATATAAAATATACTAGTTACATTATTTTGCTCTTATGTCTGTGAAACATTTTTTTCGTAGTATCGTGCGGTCACTATTTGCGTACTCATTTGTAAGCACAATAACACTTAACATTCGACACTCATCTTCGTCTCTTTCCTTAATTTGAAGTGCAATCACGTAATGTAAGATACATATGCACGCACTTGTTTAAAAAGTGATATCTTGTGAATTTTAATTTTGAAATGAAAGATAGTTCTATATTAACCTTCGCATTGCGTTACTATAATCTGATAGCTAGTGATAGTCAATTTAGTTTCAGGAACATTTGAAATATCTGGATATATTCATTATCTATTACCCTCATGTGTTTGAAGCTAAACTTGATATTCAATTAATGAAAATTTTGAACATGAGGAAACGGTTTCGATTTCTACAAAAATGAAAAAAAAATGAAGTTATCAAATAAAAACACCTTGTTGACGGTGATGTATCATGACAAAGCGCGCCACCTGCCCTGTAGGATGATTAATTGTTCCTAGTCGACTATAGAAAGGGGAGGTCACTAAGTAATCTACCCCATATCGTGACAGTTTATTGCAGGATCGTTTGCTGACAACGAAAAAATGGTTTGCTAAGAGCTAATATCTGTATTTTTCTGTCAGTGACATTTAAGATGGATTACAGAATTTAATCAAGATGTAATTTTGTAGCAATACAAAGTGTTAAAAAACAATAATTTTGTTTTGAAAATGAATAACGTATTTTTGTGTAAAGCTTACGATTGAAATAACTTTTATTTATATTAAGAGAAAGAAAAGAAATGGGAGAGTGAATAGAAAGGATGGTAAACTTGGACTGCTATACATTTAATTTGTGCAATGAATAAAAGGCAAAGACAAAAATTGTCACTAGTTAATGTCAGTCTAGATACTAGTAATCACTCTGTCAAAAATTAAACATTTCTAGACGAGTTAGGATGTTCAGCTTACACTAATCCAGATTTCTTTACCTAGCTAATTTGTGCATTTGGTTTCCTATGCTTTTTCCGACGTGCATGTTTTACTCATATTAAAATCAAATTTTACACAAATGTTTCTATCCCACGAGTGAATATAAGAAGATGAGGGGTATACGCCAATGAGACGGCATATGTGAATAAAAGTAGGTGAGGGTATACGAATTAGACGGCAATCCAACGGAAAATTAATAAATAAACAAACTACGTAAAGACTACAATACATATTCTTCGTCAATAGACAGATGTCTGTACAATAGGTCAAGTTGTATAAAAAGTCCCCTGTCTAATCGAAGTTGTAACTGTATTAAACAGACACAACCGAAGATCGGCCATCCGAACAACCAGCTCCCTACTATTATAACAACTAATGAAAGATGATCTAAAAAGATTGACACATACATGATATTCGTTCCAATCCTATTATTTTACTTTAATGTTATCTAATGCACAACCTTAAACAATATGAAAAGACAGTAAGATATAGAAATCACCAGCATTTCAAACCCGAATTAGAAAATGTGCTTAAAATACATACATTGTGTAACAGTCAACGTACTTACGATGGCGACCATACATTTACTCATTGTGAATACCAACCTGAATATAAATTTTACTGTGTTAAAGTTCCTAAGACAATTCGCTATGTCCAATATGTCTCTGACACACATACTCGAAGGAGTATGAGATATAAAGGCTTAGAAATACGATTCCTCAGAAAAAGGAAAGTGACAATAGACCTTATCGCTATTTGGGAATCTGCGACACTTGACCTGATAATTTGCGACACTTGAACTATTGACTTCATACAACACTCGTTTTTCCTTTATAGCGTCAGACATTTTCTATCGTCGCGTCCAAATTTTACGGGAACCTTTGTGCTGTCCAGTAATGGACAAATAGCGATGAGCAACTTCCGAAACAAGGTTGTCGGCTCTCCGAACTTTCCCGGAGTCCTTCATGAAACAGACTTGGTTGTGTTAGCAATATAACATTATAAGCTAAGTGGTTCAGATATGATGAATTTTGGTTTTCAGAGAGAATATGTTATTTATGAGGCAGTGCCTAAAAATAATGCAGGTTTTCTATCCACAACGACCTGCTCTTCAACATTTAATCAAATATGAAAACTTGCATACATCTAAATATTAATGTCATTGAGAACAACTTATATTATATTTTAACGTATATTTAGGGTTTCCAGTTACACATAATATACAGGTATTGAGTTGTTAGGTTGCTGTCTCATTGGCGTGTCCCCCGCATATCCCTCTCTTTTTATTCATTTTCTTATTCTAAAATACGTTCGCGGTTGTAAACTTGTCAACTTGCTCACAGTTAACTATAACCTTGATAGCTTTTAAATCTACAGACATGATAAAGTATAGATTTCAAACAGTAGTGTTGACTAATACCTCCTCCTTTATTACACAGCTGTTGGAATTTACTACCCAGTACAAGTACTTGTATCATTTTACATTGAACATGAATCGTAACGGACAAATTACGGAAAATTATTTGAAGATTAACTTTCCAAATCTACAATAGTTCTCTCTAATTGAAGGTTATTTTGTCTAGTGTTTAAGCTCAGTTTTCGCAAATTAAAACGATGACATTTTACTTGAAAGGAAATAGTGTAATATTATACTAGTTGACACTTTCATCATCAATTTGGCCAGATATCACGTGACTTAGTGATAGTTAATTTATATCATCCTGAGATGCAGGGCTATGTAGTCATGTTTCCTTTAAAAGCGACGACAAACGAATGACTGACAGTATATTTTGTTCAACAGTGACAAGCCCTTGTTAATAAAGACATCAACTTGAAATTGTATACTCGCTTTTGCCTTGTCTTTGTGTTAAAATACTCTACTTGTATGAAGTTTGATCTTTCTTAATTGCTATAGATTGCTGAGGGGAGAGTAGAATTCCATTTTAGCACGATTTAGAATGTCTTCAGGTTTATTATGACTGTGAGAAGTTCCAAATATCAAAATTTCAAATTTCAAAGGACTTCAATTTAAATTTTCAACAAGCCAAACGTGCGTATAAATAAAACTAAATTCCTTAAAATAACTTATTAAAATGAATCAAATATAAATGAAAATCCAGTTGAAGTATTTGACGTAATTGTGAATAAGAGGAACTGAATAACAACAAGAACAAATACGTTTGCCAATGATACAGCCATCGTCCAGAGTCCGAAGGAAAGTGATGTTTTTATTACAGGTCACCGTATGGCCTTCGATAATCAGCAAGACCATTACCACATGGTAATCTATAGAAAAATAACGCGATGAGAAATAAGAAAACGATTAAAAAAAGACAGACGAAACAAGGCGACAACAAATGCAAACCACTGGGTTCATTGCTAGGGACAGACAAATACAGAATGAGGAAGTGTTAACAGTGGCGGATCTAGAGGGGGGTTCCGGGGGTTGGAACCCCCCCTTTTTTCTTGACGATCAATGCATTTGAATTGGGACATATAGTTGGAACCCCCCTTTATCCTGGGTTGGGAACCCCCCTTTTAAAAGTGGCTGGATCCTCCCCTGGTGTTAAGCATATTTGTGAGCGCAAACCCCCTAACACTCGACAGTAACTGTTGATTACCGTATTGTTTGTTTTGCTGATTATATCCTTAAGGTTTATACTTCGTTCGTTTACCCTGTTTAGACATATTTAGACGACTCTGCAAAGAGAGCTGAATTGAGTGACATTTAACAGTGATTTAAGGCAGCAAAATATTAAAAATGGAAACTCATATGTCAATGAAGCTAGTAAAACAAAATATCTGAACACAAAGTATATCTGTTCAAGTCCAATTGAATAATAATTGTTTAATTGTCGTTTTGGGGGAAAAAACAAGAAACGCTGTTTAATAATACTTTTTGTTTGACACCATTACATTACATTGATAGGAAAAAGTCACCACACATTGGCGCAGGACTAGACTATTAAGTGTCTGGGGAACAAACTTCTGAAATTGACAAGAAAAAAGCACCGCAGCAACCGTCCTGTGTTAATTTATTGCACGAGTGTTCAGAACTGATAGTCGAGCGACACACCAAGTTGGTTAACCAAACGCAAAAAACATGACATGCAGAAATTGGTTGATGAAGACTAACTGAATTATGGTTGTTTGGTTACCGACTAACTGACTGATGGTAGTTTTATTACCGTCTAACTGACTTATGGTAGTTTGAATTCAGAATAACCGACCTATGGTTAAATTGATATTGGGATCGTAATACGCCATGCAATGTGTTAACGGCTAAACTGCGTTATGCAAATGAGGATTTGATGATTGCATGAAAAGAAGGGATAAGTTGGAAAACACATTTTAAGAAGACAATGAAAAAGTAATTTACTAATACAAGTTCTGCTCGTAATTGGTCTCTCCTACCCGTGAGTAGAGCAGCGGAATACATGTACATAACGACTGAATTATTCGGGACATGAGAAAAGATCAATAATTTTCATTATCACAAAGAAATCGGAACACTTCTCGAGATGGGCGTCGAAGCAAATCTTTGATACATATTAAACATGTTTCCGGTTTAGATTAGTTTCAAGCCAAGCACTGGAGAAAGCAGACATCCAGTCCTACGCTGAATCTATGTTTGTGGAATAAGTATTATTATTGATGCCATATTTCTTTGTTTCAATTATGCATATGGCATTTTGTAGTGCAAGATTTTAGATCGAACCTTATCTTTCTTTAAGTTATAAGTTCATTCTATATATAGGTCTGCTATGTTGCCAGGACGTTAGTCCGCAAATAATCAATTGTTGGACGTTAATCCACAAATATAATCAAAGTTTGGACGTTAATCCACAAACAATCAATCATTTTTTTGTTGTTGCAATTATATCGAAAATTGGCAATTGCAATTGAGGATGAATTGAAAGTGGAACTAAACAATCAAGGAGGAAAATGAAAATGTATTTGAAATATTCCAATGATTCATTTTTTTTTAATGAGAGCGAACTGCCTTGACCTATCAAGGAAGCTTTCAAATACCACCAAACAGATGAAAGCATTGTTTTAGAGAGGTAAACTATCACCTTAGATGTCTCCTTTTAAACAATATAATAGTTATTTTGTACAAGAATGCGGTAATTAAATTTCAGTTTTGACACTGAAAAAATCTTCATAAATAAAGGATTGTTTCCCTATTTTCTTACCAACAGTCAAAAATATGTGTCTACTTAGTCAATCTTTAGTATTATAAAAACACAACCTTTGTTCTTACATCAATTGATTCATTTTTCATAATTCACAAATACATCAAGTAACAAATCTTCTTGTGTATGAAATGTACACTTAGATGTAACTTATAGATAATTAAGACGAACATCAGTTGCGTGTATCGCCCTAAATATAGAGGGGTGAAATTCTATATTTCAAAAGAGATGAAATCAGACTTCGTGCTGCTGTTAGTACGTTATCATAAAGGCGAATGGGAAAATTGTTTGTACGGTATAGAGTTTCCTTGGCATAACATACGGTTTACATTTTCTTATATTTACTGCTAAGCCTATGTGCATTCATAATCAACAATATGCATTTCTGCAATAATACTTTGGTTTTTTTTATTAGCTTAGCTCAAGAACTCTTCCTGTACATTAAAGTTGGTTTTTAGTTCAAGAACTTTTACTGCACTTTATAATAGGTTAAGTTTTCAATAATATTGAATGTGTATTTTTTTTTAAATTGTTAATATATATGATTTGTAAAAAAAAATATTATATATTAGATACATTGTCCTAGCTCCTATAAAGTACAAGTATATAATACAAAACCAAATAAGATATACTTTGAGCTATTCCGCACTAATGATACCCCGAAATTAGTATACGAAAATCTGGGAGGATTTGAAAACGCAGTACACATATATAACGTGGCCAGATTGGAGCTTGATACCAATTTTAAGTTAATGAAAAAGCGACGAAAATTCATACATGCCCATCATGTGTAAGAATATATACCCTTGGTCGGGGGGGGGGGGGGGGACACCCGCTTATGTTTGTCTTCTCGTTCATTGAATATACTGCTAGATATCTTGTCAGGAAATAATGTAGTATATGACAAATAATACGGATGTGTTTCTAAAATCTAGATTCTTAGTGTATTTCCTACAGGAAGAAACTAAATAAAAAGCACTTTTATGTCAGCTTAATATTGGACCAAGCATTAATTTTCCTTATATTTGTATCTAAGAAATTATAATGGGCATCAATAAAATAATAATTGTCCATCAGATAAAATATGTTGATGAGAAACAATGTATCGACATTTGGGGACTTTACAGCGAATCTGATATAACAAACTCGTACATAAGTCCTTGCGTTATATCCTGTACATATACCATATCCCATTTTCATTGCTGATATTCTGCGGCTTTTTTATTATCGGTTTCATCAAAACAACGAATCAGCAGGAGGCTAAAAAAACTACAAAACTTACTTAATCTTGAAACCTCGCTAGTTTCTGATAGGTTGTCATCACTGTCAAAGCTATCTCGACTGAGGTCGTCTATAGGAGACACAGCTCCGTCGTTTTCTGACGTGTATCGCTCGAGATTTAGTTGTTCTGTGTCCGTACTGTTTACTTTATCATAGCCATACAATCCAAGAAGTTCATTCATAGTATTTTCAGCATAATCCTGGAATAAAAAAATATGAATGTTCTTTTAGCAAACCAGCAGCCTCAAACAATACAGATTTTGTTGGATCAGACTCGTGACAAAAATGACAGTATGTTTTTGTTTCAGATTCAGTACGCACAGCATGCACTTATTTCGTGAAGAAGAATGGAAGAGAGATGATAAGGGACAATAAAAAAATCCCAAATTTCATAAAAAGGATAACAGCCATTACCAATAATTTGTGAACATGACAAAAGACAGTAATTCTAATCTTGACTTCGTCCGTCCGTTAAATTTTTGAAAAGATGTCTTGGTAGCTTAACCCTAAGGAGCCCTTGATTAAATAGCTTTATTTTTAACACCAATCCTCTATCAAGTAATCATGATAAGAAACGCAAGCTCTGGAATATCAGATGGAACTAAATTTTTAGTTGCTGCTGGAATGTTGCTACACAAAAATGGAAAGTTCACAACTGAAGAAACTTTGACGTAAAGTTTAACTATCGTGATATAACGTATGGGCTATAGTAAAAAAGATTGAGAACCCAAATTTATAAAAGGTTTAGGATTTACAAAACAGAAATGACCTATACCCAATAGCCAAAATTGTAAATATAATTACAATTTCTATAAGAGGAACCTCCGTGGGTGACCAGGTCATAATACTATAGTAACCTAGACTTCATTAGTCTAGTAGTAAAACCCATGATGAATGTTATGCTGAATTTACGATTAAACAGCCTCGCCATGGGTGTTTAAATGGTCCGATTAGGAACAGCGTCTTGCTCTCTGTCCTTAAAAAAAATCACCAGAACAACTTTTTCATAGGTCTATTTGTAGCCTGATGCAAGGTTAAATTTCATGTCCCTAGCCAGTACAAACTTCTGCCCTTCGTCCCGGTCGAACCATTTAAAAAAACTACGTTATTAATAATATTCAATTTGTTTTCCTCGTGGATATGAATGAAATATTTGCTCTAGAAGTTAAACAAACAACAATCAATCAATCAATCGGACATCTAAATTGTTTTGCATACGGTATAAGTAAATATGATACCAAAATTTCAAGTATTGGAAACCAGATCAAATTGCAAGATCAAAAAGAAAAAAAACTTGTCAATGAAAGAAAGAAATCTGACATTCAAGACAAACAGTAAATTGCAACATATGAACAAGTTCTAGGTCTCCTGGTTCCCTGTTTTCTCTACCTTTGTACTCTGTTTACTTTCAAAGTATTACAAACAATAAAAAAATAATAAAAAAAGGTTCCGAAGGTATAATAACTCATGGTAACTTAATATGAATAAAAGGATATGTGCTGTATCTATCAACCTGACACCACAGCTCAGCAATAAAAGAGAAATGTGGCTACTGCATACTGAATATGAACATTCAATTTTAAAAGAATCAAACAGATTGTTTCCAATTTCTCTGGGTATTTTCCTAATGAAAGAAAGATCCGAACGTCTTCATATTCATTTCAGTAAATAATACTTGAAGTCTGGATTTACACAATAAACAAAGATTGAGAATCCCAATAATAAAATTTTGGTAGGAAATATTTAACAATTCAATTTCTATGTTCATTAAGAATTTCGCTTACCTGTTTCCTTTCAGTTTCACCTTACAAAAATACAGCAAATTATCACAAAACATGTAACCCATTAAATACAGAAAGTGACTTTAGAAAAAGTAAAAGGTTGGTCAACCATATAATAGCCCTAACGAATTTGATTCGTTATACCCTATATGAAATTTTATAATTTTGGGGTCGGATAGCGTGAGGTTTTGGTTAATGATAATAAATACATACCCCGATATTGGATACTCGGCTAAGGTCTTAGGACGGATATCAGGGTAATATAATACAAGTAATAATACATTTTTGTGAATGACAATTTAAGATAATTTAGACAGGTGTGACGATTAAAGTTTAATTATATGAATCAAAAGGTTAAGGCAGGTGGGGCAGTTGTACATGCATGTATATGCATTTAATATATTTAATATATATGCCATTAAGAACACGATTTGCTAATTGCTGATAGATAAATCATGCATTAGAAAAAAGTGTGAAAAGATTCCCGTTCGCACAACACGTGTAACTGGGATCATTTTCATCAGGTGAGCTCGAGACCTAAATGTTGCAAAGCCAAAAATCAGAGATGTTATCCCAAAAGGGCCTTTCAGGCTTGACAGAAGAATTAATTACATAATTTGGACTTCAAAAAGTGTATACTTTACTAAAAAAATAATAAAAATGGTAGACATTTTTATCCGACGCCCAACAACGTCATTCCAACAATACCAATCTGCAAACTTTGGGCAGATACTCCAGTTATGATTTGTTTAATTTCATCTGAAGTCTTCTAGTTAAACAGTTTGTACACTTATTGTTGATTTTCAGCGTACATGTTTTAAAAGCAGGTGGACCCCCTCCCTTTCATCTAAAACAATGTTAAAATTCTAGGTAAAACATGGTTAGAAATGTAAACAATATCGCATGGTTTTCAGATCAGATTAACGTTTTAATAACGTTAAAATATCTCCAATTTATGTGCCCTGTATCTTCATGTGTTAACATAACAAAAAAAGTTTATGGAATACGCATCAACATGTTTTATAATATTTTTGTTCCTTCAAATAAACGCGAATAAATTGAGACAAGAATAATATTTTCCCAACGTCGATTGAGTGAAATATGATCCTAGACGAATTAGAAATCGCCAATTGAAAACACATTACCGCCATAATTATCATGAAACAGTGATGAAATTGGAGACTTTTCACAAATGTCAAATTGCCACTCGGGTCTGGTTTTTAATTCAAGGATATATTTCAGTGTGTTTATTTAAAATATCATATTTTCTCTCTTTACATCATCAAATTTCATACGTTTTAAATTTCTCTGAGTCATAGAAGAACCCATTCTATATCGCAAACAACTTAAACAGGAGAGAAAAGCTTGAATTAAGTAAAGACGTAATTGATGTTGATCTCGAATTTCTTAATCAATAGAATTTCTTAATAAATTGTAATATCGAACTTGATCTGTATAGTAAACATCCGCTTACATTAGGGACATGCACTGCCATACAATCACTCCTTGTAGTTAATATACATAGTACAACGATGCATCAACCACAATTCGACGGTCAGCACTATCATACATGTACATATAGTTCAACGATATGTCCCCAATCTGTTGCAACTTGAATATGCTTTCCTGTTTTAATGGGATTGTTCCACAACAGTAACGTTAAAACACTAGTTCTCAGATTATCTGAAAATACATCTGATGAATGTTTCCAATATTTTGAAAAGAAGGTGAATGCCAATGATAAATTCATCCAATTTGAATTTTCAAAAATGTGAAAAAAAACTAGAAAGTTTATATGCTTGAAGTATCAGATTTAATTTCGTCTTTGTGAGATATTATTTTCAAAGATAATGTTAAATGCGTAATGCACATCATTTATAATAGCAAAACTTGTACGTTTCCATATTAAAAAAAATTCTAATTTTATGAATAATTCAAAGCAAACTATTATCTTGATACCTGCTAATTCAAACCAGACAAACGTTATAAATGGATATTGATAGACGTTTAGATAGTGAGAAAAAGCCACTATACAGCATTAAGCCGTAAGTTATGACTGAAATATAACAATTCAGTTTTTATGCATTCAAATTAAAAGTTTTTTTCTTTAACCACATATTTGAAACGATAGAAATATAATCTCTCAATCGATAATTAGGGAATATAAAGAGTATGAACTCGGGAAGGGCAAGTTCAATACCTAGCTTTAAACATAAGTAAATTGACATGCGTTCTAATGGGATCGGTCATTTTTAACTGTTTGCAATGATCTTTCATTGATTGATTGCTCATTGGTGTTTAACGCCACTGAAGCACCCTTGACTATTTCTTGGCGACCGGTTTTTATTGGTAGAGAAAACCGGAGTGCCCGAAGGGAACTTTTGACTTGAGCAAGAAAACTGTCAAATCTGTTCAATTGAGATAGGAGTCGAACGCACCTTGCCATGAGCTGGCTTTGAACTCAAAACCTCAATGCCACACAGGCAAGTGATCACTGTAGATGAACTACTTAGATCACTCGGCCACCGACGGCCTTATATCACTCGGCCACCGAGGCCTTAGATCACTTGGCCACCGAGGCCCCTAGTGTAATGTATGTAATGAGGAATAGAGTACAGAATGAAAACTACTAAAATTCTCAAGTCTGATATACCGATTCAATAAAGGTCAATCGTCTTGCAACTCACTATTTAGAAGAGAGGATTCTGAACACTTTTCATGCCTGTACAAGGATTTTATGCTGATCAAAAGGAATCAAACTCTTGAGATGTGGTCTATAAAGTGACTACTTCCAATTTAAACAGGTATAAACCTATGATACATGTACAATCATCTTTTTTGGTCTTAATTCTCGAACTTAAATGATCGGCATATTATACAATGATTTACAGAAAGCAGGTGACAGCGACTACCACTAGAAAAGAAGAGTAAGTTGGATAGGGGTAGCAAAAACGGACGACAGTGACTTTGTCTTGTCCTGTTTAATATCAGCATTTGATGAGACAGTCTGAAATACTATTCAAAATATTAATCGGTTAAAACTTGAGGTGAAGTTTTAGGAGCATCCATCAAATACATCTTTGACGTCATTTAAGTGTCACTCTTGTAAATCATTAATTTAGAAGCATTTTCTGGTAATTTTATGGTTTCATAGGAACTCGATAAATCAAAGAGATGAACCGCAACTGTAAAATGTATTTTATAATTGTCTCACTTTGTGCCGTTATTTAGTATCGTATTTCAGATATAAATTTCAATATTTCATTCCAAGAGAATCATATTGGACGTATAATCAATACTTTATGCAAGAAGTGACGCAAATAACTAAATAAGACGGTTATTTAACTTGTCATTATCATTGATTGTAAAAATGTTGCGATCTGATGCATTTTTTGCATGCGAAGACATTTTCTTGTCTGCTATCCATTCATCTTGGGAATGTAATGATATACTTAGATTCTGCTTCTTTGTAGTGTTGATTTCTCATTCTCTTAACTTGGATCCCAAATCCTACTTTGGATTATGATAGATCTTTAATCAGTCTTGAAATGATTTCTCGAACAGATCGAAAGAGATCCGAACAGATCTTGTTCAGACCTTTATTGAAGGTCCAAATCTCTGTATTAATTTTGAATTATATTCTCACAAGTTTGTTCAATATTTGCACTGAAAAGACATGGGTAACAGTGGAAAAATTGGGTTACTGCTCAGAAGCTTTTTTTTTTAGAGTATTCTTCGGATAGGAATATAGAATTTGGTCATGAGGATGCCTTCGTGATGTATGAGAGATTGATACTCGTAACTCCTTGGATGTTTCCTGCCTCTGACACATTCCATCACGATTTTACAGATGGTCAATGACAGTAATATTTGCTAATGTTCCTTGTAATCCTATTTTTAGAGCTTAACCATTAATTTCTTTTAGTCAGTAATATTTATTAGAACACAAGCTTACAATTCTTAAGCAGTTTAACCCTAATTTTCAATCAAACTTTGACGGTCTAAAGATAAGTCCAATACTTATTTATGTTAATCGTGTTGAAATACTCTTGAAGTCTACCCATATGCCTGTAGAAATGTACTTTTGCTCGAGCGTACATAAATGAATTCAATCGTATACCGTTCTTTGCATGCAGTGTAATATGCAAACATGATCTGAAAGTATGATGGGTTGCAAAATGCAACATTACTCGGTAACTGAAAGATACAAGTTTGTATAGGAAATGGTATGCTTTGCTTCCGCGGCAGTTATTCCACATCCCAGCATTTAATCATCAGTGGCGGATTCAGTGATCATGAAAAAACAGTGTTCTAACTGTGAGGCAAAACAGCGGCCGTAACTAGCATGCACTAATTTGCAAGCACAGTAAAACGTATCCATTCATTTCCCAAACCTCTTCGTTCCACTTATCATTTTCTGACTGTCATAAAAGTGAGAGGTTTAACTAGCTATAAAACCGGGTTTAATCCACAATTTTCTACATAAGGAAATGCCTGTACCAAGTCAGGAATATGACAGTTGTTTTCCATTCGTTTGATGTGTTTGAGCTTTTGAATTTGCGATTTGATAAGGACTTTCCGTTTTGAATTTTCCTTGGAGTTCGGTATTTTTGTTATTTTACTTTTTTCTTTGTTTTTGTCTTTTACATGCTAACATATGCAGCAACCAACAGCCAATGAATATTGTTTTATTTCTAAGCCTTTAGAAAAAAATAAGCGTAAGAGATATTTTCTACATGCAAAAGTTTTATTGAGTAATTTGAGTACAAAATTTAATTTCAATGTGCTAAATATTTAGATTAAGGAAAGTCAATATTGTTCAAGAGGATTTTGTGTAATTTTAAGTTATAATAAACAATTTTATTAAGTATGGCAAATTTGATCTGAACAGAAACTATTGGGTAAACGTAGATGTGGATATATGAGCTCCTAAACCAGAATTATTTTGCATTTGTCACTAAATTTACTATTTTAACAAATCAGATGGATAATATATATATTTAACCCTTTCTTCGAAATCCATTAAATTCTAATTTTATATGTAAGCGAAAAAAAGTTTTTGAAATATACTGTCAAAATGCTTTGAATCTTAACTATAGACTAGGGTTTAGAAATACGGTAACATGTACCTCTTCCGGCGAGAGTAATACCCTGCATGCTAAGGAGCTTGTGTACTTTGCGGGATGTATAAATACGCAGCCACGGCCGGTCAAAATGGGGACTTTAAATCTGATGTCTCGTGTTGGGAGTGTGCCACGCTTTCTGCACGTAAGGGTACTGAGTGATGGGTCCATAATTAGTCTGTTTCGAGGCTAAATTTCTGTCCCCCAATGATCATATATACGCCCTTTTTGCTGTGGCAGACCAATTGTTCCGCCCTTCATCCCAGTCTACCTACTTCACAGTATCTATAATTGATATACTTTTTTATTTGTACTCTTCCTGAATACACTTGAAATATTTGCCAATAGGCGTTAAGCAAACAACAATAAATCAATCAATCAATCAATCAATTCGTCAAATTTATTGACAGCGAGATCTCAAAATTCTATATGTTTCATTGAATTATTGGGAAGTGGGTCAAAGGAACGGTAGTTATGAAATTTTAGCAAATTTAGCAAGTGGAAAATATGTATTATTTCTATTTATCTGAAAAAAAACTTCCGAAGTTTGGGAGTAGAATTTATACAAAACGATAAAGAATATAGATTTCTTATGATTATAAGTATATGATATGTATATATACCGTCTGCAATTCTCATCATCAACCTTGTGGGAAGCAAAGTTTTGGTTCTCTGCCATGGGTGTTTGTACACAGAAAAAACAAAGAAAAGCTTGGAGGTCAGAACGTTCATAAAAATGTATGTTATTGTTAGCTTGGCAAAAAAATAAATCTTTAAGTACACCAGTTTGAACCAAAAAGAAAAGCCCCAATTCAAAATCAAATTTCAAAAGTTAATAAAATTGTCAATTTATTATAATTATCTATGCCTTAGGTCAGTGATGAGTTTATTATAAACATTTAAATTTAACCGTTACAAGAATATATCAAAAATAGAATTAAACTACAATGACTTACTTTAATATCTGTGTCTTTCGGTTCCTCTTTGATTTGAACGTGATCACTTGTGTAGGATTCCGATGTTTTACACTCGTACGTTTTTTCTGACATTTTATCAAATACAAATTAATTTGTGTTTATTCTCCACTGAACAATCTACACTATGGGCTGTGTGAACATATGTAATACTAGTTAAAGCCAAATCTAGCCTTATTGACTTGTAAACCGAGCCGTCTGTAATATGATCTCTCCTATTGATACTAATAGTATTCGGAGCATGTTGGGGAGAACGCTTTGTAAGCGGTAGTTGGATCATTTTACACACGGCGCGCAATCTCATAGTGATTGTAAATATGTATAGAAACTTTTTTATCAATATAGAAATATAGTTTGATCTGATCTGTGGTGTTCTGTATTAACTGTTGATTGGATTAATTATGTTACCACAAAGATCGGCATCAATTTTATCGGTATTTATAAGTACATTTTTGTAGTGGTACAATGTACTTTATCATTGACCACACTCTTCACGTGCCTTAACTTTCAGCGGCTAATATTACAAGCATAAAATGAACGAGAATAATTTATTTCATGTTTGTGGATGTTAAAACTTTGAACTAGGGTCAACCAAGGATTTGTATAGTAAGACAAATACAAATCCTTGGGTCAACTGGGTCATATTTACTTGAGATTAGCATATTGAGCACATGCATAAATTTTGTTTTGACGAATCAATTAATTTTATTTTTATAAATAGGGATGAATATTCCTATGTTATTACACTTAGAAGGCAATTCATATTACCGACTATCAAATATAGCCTATTGAAAGATAATTGGTTAAATATGCTTCCGAATCACATTACGTTTAATTTTCTTGCAAATGCAATATATAATCAGGGTTGCTTTTTTTATATCAACTATAAAAATGAAAGATTCAGTTAATGTCTAAAATTAGAGGGACAATAGAAGAGAGGTATTTAAATTACATAAAATGTTCTTAATATATTTTTATATAGATTATACCGTTGGTTTTCCTGTTTGAATGGTTTTACACTAGTCATTTTTGGGGCCCTTTATAGCTTGCTGTTCGGTGTGAGCCAAGGCTCCGCGTTGAAGGCCGTAATTTGACCTATAATGGTTTACTTTTACAAATTGTGACTTGGATGGAGAGTTGTCTCATTGGCACTCATACCACATCTTTTTATATCTATAGACATTACCTAAATATATTTACCCTTCTACTACTGTACAATAGAATCGCATATTCAGACTTCTATTCAAACGAAAGATGAAAAATTAACTTAATACAGTTATCCTCCTATTTCGGATGTGGTGATAGAAAATTAAATACTATTCACACAAGATTGAGAAATATGTGTATTTTGTTACTTATTTTATCACTTATTGCTGTGTATCATATTTGTTTTTCGTTTATTGTTTTGTACATAAATCAGAACGTTAGTTTTCACGTTTGAATTGTTACATACATTTGTCATTTCGGGGCTTTTTATAGCTTGCTATGCGAAATGGGTTTTACTCATTGTTGAAGACCGTATGGTGACCTATAGTTGCTAATTTCTACGTCATTTTGGTCTCTGGTAGAGAGTTGTCTCACTGGAAATCATACCACATCTTTTAATTTTATATTTCTTTAAATGCATATTTGCACCGAGTTGATATCAAAACCAATTCCGCATGCAGCTGTTGCCATCCAGTTGAAGATTGTATTCACTATTGTTTCGAGTGCCCTTTCCACGATGAAGCAATATATGTATTGTTTTCAAAATTAGAAAGATATTTTTTATCAATTAGGCTTCTATTAGTTGGTGACGGAGACCTTACATTTGAGCAATATATATATATACATGGACTTTATTTTTTTTCTCATTTGCCATCATCATTATGTAATAATCGAAATATTTTACTATAACAACATGTATGAACCAGAATGGGACCAAAGATGTATCTTATTCTACAGAAAGTAAAAGTGCAACGTACCGACTTAAGAAAGACCTTCGTATCAGAATAGGAACCACACAACTTTTTTTTTAATTCATTCATTATGTATGGTCTTATCAATGGTTTAAACTTTAAAGGTTGTTCAAACTCCTGTTATACTATGAAAAACGGAGATACCAAGCTTGCTACGTTAGACGGGCGTTTCGTGTACACAAAGCTCATCAGTGGCACTCGAACCAAAACAATTGACGTGCCAAATAAAAAACAAAATTGAAGAAAATTGAAAACCAAAAACTTCGAAAATGTGCGACTAATACATCTAAAGCCATGCAGCAATGTCTGTTGGTAGAAAAAACTCAGTGTTTCGAATAATTAAAAACAAAATAACAGAATATTTTGAGAAAATTACCATATCAATTATATTTCATGTCAACATATAAAAAGGAGAGAGAGAGAGAGAGATAATAAACAAATGTTTCTAAATGTTTAATGCAGATCTTTTTGTTGTTGACCGCGATTCAAAATCCGTCTCTTTCTGAATACGCATAAGATATTTTGCCATTGGACGATTAGCAAGCAACAATCATCCTAGCAATCCAAATTCATCTCGGCAAAACATAGTTATACGTGAAAGCATAATAGATATATACATAATAGAAAAGGGAGGATATGGGGTATCCATCCATGACACAAAATCAGTATGTTCACAGCAAAAAACACAAAAAGCAAAGGAACAGCGCTTTTATTGCTGTTTTTCACCCCAAAGTTACAGTGAGGCCTTCAACGCGGAGCCAAAAATACTCTCACCTCCATGCAAGTTTAAGACGACACAGACACCAGTTTGAGCGGAATTCTTTGCAAACTGACGATTACGCCACAACTGTGAATTGACGATTCCTCCTACAGGGCTAAGGAGTAGATCAATTGAAATCGACACTACATAAGTTTTACGGTCACCATCACGAATTTGACGACCAATAATATATGTCTATGTCTCAACACACTAATGACATGTTTTTGCGATCTTAGATCTTTAGATACCGGAATATAGACTTATGATCTGTTTTTGCGATCTTAGATCTTTAGATACCGGAATATAGACTTATGATCTGTTTTTGCGATCTTAGAACTTTAGATACCGGAATATAGACTTATGATCCGTTTTTCCGATCTTAGAACTTTAGATACCGGAATTTAGACTTATGATCTGTTTTTGCGATCTTAGATCTTTAGATACCGGAATATAGACTTATGATCTGTTTTTGCGATCTTAGAACTTTAGATACCGGAATATAGACTTATGATCTGTTTTTGCGATCTTAGAACTTTAGATACCGGAATATAGACTTATGATCTGTTTTTGCGATCTTAGAACTTTAGATACCGGAATATAGACTTATGATCTGTTTTCGCGATCTTAGAACTTTAGATACCGGAATATAGACTTATGATCTGTTTTCGCGATCTTAGAACTTTAGATACCGGAATATAGACTTATGATCTGTTTTTGCGATCTTAGAACTTTAGATACCGGAATATAGACTTATGATCTGTTTTTGCGATCTTAGATCTTTAGATACCGGTATATAGACTTATGATCTGTTTTTGCGATCTTAGATCTTTAGATACCGGTAAATAGACTTATGATCTGTTTTTGCGATCTTAGAACTTTAGATACCGGAATATAGACTTATGATCTGTTTTTGCGATCTTAGAACTTTAGATACCGGAATATAGACTTATGATATGTTTTTGCGATGTTAGATCTTTAGATACCGGAATATAGACTTATGATCTGTTTTTGCAATCTTAGATCTTTAGATACCAGTATATAGACTTATGATCTGTTACCAATGGTGTCCTATTCCCGATTGTGACATTTTGACTGTCAGTGAGTGTGAATTATATATATCATGGCGGGTGATGCATGCTTACCCTGTCGACGAACTCGGTCTTGCTCATTTTGGAGTCCATGCGAATCCTTGATTTGTATTTTCTGTAAAATCGATTAACGTAACGCAGATTTTTTCTTATAAAATTCATCATTTTGATGACAATCTGAAACACAATACATTGTACAACTACCTTGTATGGCTGAATTATATTTAAAGTTCTACTAATTCTAAAGCAGACACATGTGTAACAGTAATAGCATTTTGGTTACCTCCTCACAGACTGATAGATAATTTTATTTCAATAAAAAAAAATCCGCCACTGCTGAGTAAAGTTAAACACTGATTTTTAACACTTAAAACAGCACTGTCTTTTTAATTTGTTGTCAATTTGACTTTTAAATATTGGTTATGCTTTATCGTCCAATAATGGACCCAAAACTAGAGGCTCTCAAGAGCCTGTGTCGCTCACCTGATTCTACTTTGGTTTTGAAAATCATGTAAAAATAGATTAAAACCATAACAGATACCCAAATAATGATTGAGGCCAAATTTGGTTTAATTGGCCCCGTAATTTAAATCGGCAACAAAGTAGCAAACCTTCATTAGCACCTCATAAGGAACATTCATGCCATGTTTGGTTTCATTCTATTCAGTGGTTCTCTAGAAGAAAACTTTTGTATGTATTTCCCCTAGGTTCCTATGTTAAACTTACTCCCCCCCTGCTGGCAGCCATCTTAGATGACCAATCAGCTACAAAGTAACAACACTTTGTCAGCACCTCAAAAGAAACATTCATATCATGTTTGGTTTCAATCCATTAAGCGGTTTTCTAGAAGAAGACATTTGCATATATTTCCCATAGGGTCTTATGTTAAACTAAGTCCCCGCTGGCGGCCATCTTGGATGATTAATCGCATACAAAGTTACAACACTTAGTCATCACCTCATAAGGAACATTCATGCCATGTTTGGTTTTATTCCTTTCAGTGGTTCTCTAAAAAAAGACATTTGTATGTATTGTCAATAGGGTCCTATGTTAAACTAAGTCCCCCGCTGGCGGCCATCTTGGTTGATGGATTTGCTACAAAGTAACAACACTTGGTCAGCACCTCATAAGGAACATTCGTGCCATATTTGGTTTCATTCCATTGAGTGGTTCTCTTAAAGAAGACATTTGCATGAATTGTCCATAGGGTCCTATGTTAAACGAAGTCCCCCGCTGGCGGCAATCTTGGATGATGGATCGGCTTAAAGTAACAACACTTGATCAGCACCTCATAAAGAACATTCATGTCATGTTTGGTTTCATTCCATTTAGTGGTTCTCTAAAAGAAGACATTTGTATGTATTGTCCATAGGGTCCTATGTTAAACGAAATCCCCTGCTGGCGGCCATCTTGGATGATGGATCGGCTTCAAAGTAACAACACTTGGTCAACACCTCATAAGGAACATTCATGCCGTGTTCGGTTTTATTCCATTCAGTGGTTCTCTAAAAGAAGACATTTGTATGTATTGTCCATAGGGTCCTATGTTAAACGAAGTCCCCCGCTGGCGGCCATCTTGGATGATGGATCGGCTTAAAGTAACAACACTTGGTCAGCACCTCATAAGGAAAATTCATGTCATGTTTGTTTTCATTCCATTCAGTGGTTCGCTGAAAGAAGACATTTGTATGTATTTTATATAGGGTCCTATGTTAAACGAAGTCCCCTGCTGGCGGCCATCTTGGATGATGGATCGGCTTCAAAGTAACAACACTTGGTCAGCACCTCATAAGGAAGTTCGAAAATTCATGTCATGTTTGTTTTCATTCCATTCAGTGGTTCGCTGAAAGAAGACATTTGTATGTATTTTATATAGGGTCCTATGTTAAACGAAGTCCCCTGCTGGCGGCCATCTTGGATGATGGATCGGCTTCAAAGTAACAACACTTGGTCAGCACCTCATAAGGAAGTTCGAACATTCATGCCATGTTTGGTTTTATTCCATTCAGTGGTTCTCTAAAAGAAGACATTTGTATGTATTGTCAATAGGGTCCTATGTT